TACTGACTAGATTGTAATGTAATAAACACAATGTGTCTGACAAATAAAAAAAAAAAAAAAAAACAGTCGGTTTAAGGGTTTGCCAAGAGTCACTAGTGTAGAATATGGCAGTGTCGTCGGCGTAACTTACAATTTTTCCTAAAAAGTTCATTTTGAAAAGGCTGTTCACATATATAATGAAAAGTAAAGGGCCAAGTACTGTGCCTTGTGGTACGCCGCACGTGACATTTTGGCAAGAACTTTCGACACCATTTACTGCTACTAATTGCTTTCTGTTTGTTAAGTAGCTTCTGAGTAGACTTAATACGGTACCTCTAATTCCGTAGTAACTAAGCTTTCTGAGTAAAATAGTGTGATAAACGGTATCGAAAGCTTGTAACGGGCCAAAATTGCATAAACATTTCTTACCTACTTTCAATTTTATATTCAAGATTTCCTTAAGTTTTTCAACATTTTCTCTCAATTTCAATTGTCGTCAGATTTCCTAATTTTCCATAGTCAAATTCTATTTGCTGTGATAGTTTTTTTCCTCATTTTAATCCATATTTTAATTCAATTCTAAATCAAAACAAAGCAATGTTTTGATTACTATTTTAAATTCGATCATCTGTTTCATCCAAAAATAATTAATTCATCTGTCAAAAGTATGTCGTGTTCCGTAATCGTGATGTACCGTTTTCAGGTGGATGTACCGAGCTACTCCGTTCGTACTAACTGTTTCGGTTGTGGAGCGCTATCGATCTCGGCGCAAATTCGAGCGAACCCAGAGTCGCGCATTGTTTCGTTGATCTTTGAGAAACCTTGAACGCACCCATGGATTTCGCTTCTTTGACTTTTGATTGTCAAAAATTTCTGTCAACCAGCGGTGGATTAGTGATGTTTTCAGTATCGTCGATTCTTCCTTGAGCTCTCTAATTTTGAAAACGGAACACTTACTATATTTTGTATTCTTCAAGTTTTGATTGTTTTATGGGATAATTATTGGTTGTTGATATCATTATTCATCAGCCGTTGTTATTTTTCTCAGTTTATATTGTTGTGTGCAATTTTTGGTAAGTGGGAATTCTGTCGATTGGTTGTTGTTGTTTGTCGTTGTTCTCGATCATCTCTAAGTCTGAATTCCTTCCTTTGGGTTAGGTTAGTTTATTAATTGAATGTGGAGCACATTTTCTTTCACATCTGGACGTTGGAGAATTAGGGTCTTTATGAAGATTGTCTTCGCCTTTGTGGGATTTCGACCCTAAATTCTCATTTGAAGTTATAACATTTTAGTTGCCTTTCTGCCTTACGTTTTCGTAGTGTTATAATTTTCGCCGATTTATTCGGATTTTTACAACTCCATGTGTGGTAAGCTGCTTACACGTTTTTTTCCTATAGTAGATTCTGACTTTTTCAATTTAATTTAGTTGAAAGCTGCCCTAAGGAGTAGAGAATTCTCACTCTCTCTAGGAAATCCAATCCTCGATCCAGATTTCCGGAGATTTTCGAGGCAGAAAAACCCTAATTCCATCAGGTAAAAAAAAACATAACCTTATAACAATTTTTGCAAACTCAAGACACATTTTTCTCAATTGCTATCAAAGCCTTATTATGATTTCATCTGATTTAATTAATTAATACCATAATGTTCAATTTTTCTATTAAAATAATTTTCAAGAGCTATAGTCTTTTATCAAGTAAATTTGCTATTAGAAACTAATCATTATAGTTTCATTTTTTTATTGATTCAATTTATTCATGAAGTGCTTCGCTATTGGTTCAATTACAAATACAGTGTGTATAACAATTTTTTCTCTTAGGGTTCTTTCACGAGGGTTTTTCTTTCACGAGGTTTTTCTTAGGAGGTTGTACTTTACCATCAAGTATACCCTCACGGTTATAACAATAGACGTTCAATTGTAACCGAAATTGAACCAAAAGGCTAACAGACACCAGCCTAAGTAATCGGACGGTTACTCAAGTCATCGATCAAGTTAACCACAACCAGTAGCCAGGACTAATCTGGTGAATTGAATGAACCACCATCATCTGGAACATTTTGGTATCGTACTAGTTTTAGTTATCCTGATTGTTATTGTTTATTTACATTCTGTCCCTATTTGTACACCCGGTGATCACCTCGGTATTTCAGGGAATAATTCATTGCTGGCCCCAGTGTGGTAAATGAATTATTAAAATAGGTAACTTAACTAGACGTAACCTGTTGAATTAATGTCAACTTATTGGTAGTTCTGGTTACGAAAGTGTAAGATAACCGTTCCGAGAACTAATTCTACATTATTAGTTTTTTTTCCCTCTCTTATTCTCTTTATTTTTTTTTAAATTTTCAAATCTTACTTTTCATATATAACTTTTTTTTTATTACTTAGTTATTGAGTTTCAATGACATTTTTGCATTTAAATTTAACTGATCATGACATAGTATTGCATTTCTGTATTTGTTAGTTAACGCTTCTTGACAAGGTCATTTTATTAATTGCTAATTTACTTGATTATTATTATTTCTTTTTTCTTTCCTCTTGAATTCAAATTATTGTTCATTGTGGACTGCGGCCATTTGATAAATAAACGACTGTAGCACTTGATTTGAATTGACTTTTATTTGGTTTTATGCACACAGCCTGGTTTTTGCTAATATTTTTATTTTTATTAATTATTATTTGGATTGTAAGGACCTGAAGCCAGATACCATCCTGGAGAGTCCGACTCATCTGTTCAGAGTCGGTGGCGCCCAAAACTAAAACCCACCCCTACTCTCCGAATTATTTAGTTCTGAGCTAGGGCTTAATTTGCACGCACTTCGACCTTCAGTCCTACAATCTCAAGTTCCTTATTCATTTATTTTTATTTTTATTCTTCTTTTAATTTTCATTATTTTAATTTTATTTTTTTTTATTTTTTTTTATTTTCGACTTTAATTTTTTTTTTTTTTTAATTTATTTTTCTAAATTTTTTTTTTTTTTTTAAAACTTTTCTTAATCAGCGAAAAAGCGTGGCAAGCTTTCGAGAGATCAACAAAGATACACAATGACGGTTTCGATTTATCCATAGACTCATACAAATGGGATGTTAATTTTAAAATAGCATCTTGTGTTGATTTTTTCTCTCGAAAGCCATACTGTTTGTCAGAAAGAATAGAAAATCTATTTAAAAATGATGTCAAGCGAGTCTTCAGAATTTTTTCGAAAACTTTGGCAATGTTGGAAATTAATGATATGGGCCTATAATTGCTTGTGTCGACTAATGAACCACTTTTATGTATAGGTGTAATTTGTCCTATTTTTAAAATATCTGGAAAAGTTCCCGAATCAAAACAGAGATTAATAATGTATGCAAGTGTAAAAGATATTTCATTTTTCAATTCTTGTAATGTTTCTGATTTAATCCCCTCACTGCCTTTTCCTTTTTTTAAGTCTGTAATGATATTCCTTACTTCATTTTGTGTTGTGGGGTGCAAATAAATAGAGTGTTCGATGTTTTCAATGATATTGTCATCGCCTGTCAGATTTATTTGACTAGCTAGTTTTTGCCCCAGTTCTGTAAAATATGTGTTAAAATGGTTAGCTATGTCTTTTGAGTTATTTAAGGTTTTTCCGTTTTCTATTTTTATATTTTCTATTTTATTTTTTTCAATCTTCGTTTTGGTACATATATTGTTTACACAATTCCAGAGAGTTTTATTTTTATTTTGATTTTGGTTTATCTGTGTTTGTACATATCTTTTTTTTGTTGTTTTGATAATTTTATTCAATTCCGCTTTGTGATTTTTCTGTTTTCTTTTAATTGTTCATTGTGTGGCGCATTTTGACATTTTATGTACAAATCATTTTTGTATTGTATTTTCTCAAGTAGGCTTTTTGTGATCCAAGTTTTTCTTCCGAAATTCTTATTGTTTAATTTGATTTCTTGGGTGTGTTTTTTGATGAAGTGCGTTAGGACATGAATAAAAGCTTCCATTGCTTTACTAGGATCATTTTCTGTATATACCATGTTCCAGTTTTCTTTGTTTAGATCAGTTTTTAGAGCATTATAATTAATATATTTTTTTGTGTGTCGAGTATTTTCATTTATTTTAATTTCTTTAGTTGGTAAGCTTAAAACAATTGGATAACGATCTGTTAAATCGATTTTCAATACAAAAGATTTTGGCGTTTCCAAAACATCCTGATTACAGACCTTTACGAAATAATGATCAAGACATGATTTTGTTTGAGGCCTAGTTACTGTGTTAATATAAGACGTAAAGAAATAGGAATTTAGAATATTTTTGTATTCTTCGTCTTCAGGTGATAATGATAGTAAATCCATATTAAGGTCCCTAGTAATTATATGGTTTTTTGCATGTTTTTTCATTTCAAGATACTGTGCAAAATCGTTTATAAATTCTGCTTTGGTGATATTAGGGGATTTGTATATACAACTTATTAAAATTTTATGATTTAGATTCGTATCGAGTTCTAGTTCTATGGCTTTTACTTGACCGATGTATTCGAATTTATATGTGTGGGGTATTGTATTTTTCAAAAATACAATTGTCCCATCGCACTTGTTATACTGTCCCCTATTGTATATAGTTTTGTATCCGTCCAAATTGAAGACCTGTTCGTCAAAGATGTGGTATGTTTCTGTTAATATAATTAAATCAAAATTGAAGCCTATTTGGTTCAACAGACATAGAAGTTTGTCGTAGTTCTGGTGTACAGTTCTGATATTTAGGTGGAGTAGTTTTAGATTGTTTTTGATGTCAATGTAGTTCTTTAAACTATTTGGCTTTTCAATATCTACAGCCCTTATGTTTTGAACAGAAAAATCTCTTATGAATGAGTCCATTTGTAAGATTTATTGCAACTCTTTTTATAAATTTTTAATTATATTAGGTAGGTATATATGTTTTTTTTTTTTTTTGAATAAATAAATAAAAATATTGAAAGTTTACGAGATATGAGTGAAGAATGTCAGTCTGTATTAATGAGTGTATTCGCCTAAAAGTAATACAGCCTTCAGAATCTTCTTGCAGTTTTCTTCTTTTTGTTAGATCTTGTTTTAATTCCTTCTGGGCTAGGGGTTTTCTGTTGTTTTCTCTTTTTGCTTTTCTTGGTTTGCGCGATACTGGGTTCTGCCTTTGATTTCACTTTTTCCTTCTCTTCTTCTTTACTTTCTCCTTCGCTCGATTCCTCAAGATCTGAGCTACTGCTTAAGGACACATCCGGATCTGAAAGGTCTTCTAATTGTTTAGCCGTATAAAGTTTACTATCGATTTCCAATTTGAGTCCTTTTATTTTTGCTTGTTTGTTTTCGTTCAACGCTTTTTTTAGGTGCTCTCTTAATACTTTAAGTTCCCTTCTATCCTCCTCACAAAGATCGTTGGAAATTGCATACGGCGTATTCTTTAGTGCTCTAAGCTTTTCGGGGTTCTTAAAGAGCTCCGCTTTTTTCAAGTAAGAAAGAAATTCGATTTGAATTGGCGCAGAGTCTGATTCGCCAACCTTGTATATATTATTGATATTGCTTTCTTGTATGTTAACTGAAAAAAGTTCGTTTATTTTTGAAATTTTAAGTTTCACTAATTCTGTTGGATTATCGACTGTGAGTCCAAAAAACAAGACGTTATTTCTCCTTCTCTCTTTCCAACAAGACGTTTCTTTGTTCCAATTTTTCAATTTTAATGTAATTCTTCTTAAGTTGACTAGTAACGTTAGCTTCACTTTACTTGATTCTTGCTGTTAGTTGTTCGGTCTGTTTCTTATTTTCCGCTGATAGGAGTTGGAACATTTCATTAAAAGTTGTAGGCTCCCCCATTTGAAAGCGAGCGATGTTTTACGTTTAAATAATTTGGTTGGAGAGTACAGGTACCTCTTGAGATCTGGTGGGTAACTAAATTTGGTCTTGGATATTGTTTCATGTGTGTGTTTGGCGACACGCAGTCTGCTGTGACAATAGTGGGTACCCAGTGGGAGTGGCTAAAGTCGAGTATGCAAATTTGATCCTTATTGAATCCACAATTATTTTCACGTATCGGGGTGTAAAATAGCCTTTTTTTAGGGTAGTTTTAACAAATTGGACGTACTTGTTAAGTATCATTTATAGATGCTAAAAACCAAAAATGCAACATCTAATTACTTTTAGGGGATTTTATAAACAATATTTAGTGCAAAAATAGAGCTTTTTTTTGTTTATTTCACTGTATTTCTAAAACTAATGATCGGATGGTTTTGCTACTGTGGCAATAGTTTTAGAGCATTGAACAAGCATTACAATGAGCCATCATGCAACCCTGTAGGTCTTTTAGTCTTCGAGAAATGGTTTTCCCCCAAAAAAAGAGATTTTCGTAAAAAATTCCTAACTTTTTTAATTTTCATGCTAGACAATTAATTTTTTACACATACATAGGAGATGAGGCAGGCTTTATTGAGCCCAAATTTGGGCCCGGTACGATGGGTCGTTTCGGCATAATACCCTTGTCAAGCAAAATGGGGATGTTTCTTAAGCAGTCTGCCGAATTGAGGATAATTTTTTTATATTTATTTTGAAAAGTCCACTGATAAGTCGAAATGCCGAACTATCGATCCTCTATCTCAGATTTTCCATTTAATTTTTTTATCGCAAGTAAAACGGCTCCGAACATCACTGAAAATGGAAAAAGAAAAGTAATTTGCGTGGGCGGTGGGGGGGGAGCTCGCTGCCTACTCCGTTCGAATTCCCTCCGATTTTTTCCATTTTCAGTCATGTTCGAAGCCGTTTCACTTGCGATAAAAAAATTTAATGGAAAATCTGAGATAGAGGATCGATAGTTCGGCATTTCGACTTATCAGTGGACATTTCAAAATAAATATAAAAAAATTATCCTCAATTCGGCAGACTGCTTTAGAAACATCCCCATTTTGCTTGACAAGGGTATTATGCCGAAACGACCCATCGTACCGGGCCCAAATTTGGGCTCAATAAAGCCTGCCTCATCTCCTATGTATGTGTAAAAAATTAATTGTCTAGCATGAAAATTAAAAAAGTTAGGAATTTTTAACGAAAATCTCTTTTTTTGGGGGGAAAAAAAATCATTTCTCGAAGACTAAAAGACCTACAGGGTTGCATGATGGCTCATTGTAAAGCTTGTTGCTCTTAAACTATTGCCATAGTAGCAAAATCATCCGATCATTAGTTTTTGAAATACAGTGAAATAAACAAAAAAAAGCCCTATTTTTGCACTAAATATTGTTTATAAAATCCCCTAAAAGTAATTACATGTTGCATTTTTGGTTTTCAGCATCTATAAATGATCCTTAACAATATCAGCATCGATAATTTGCTGTTAAATTTTATGTTAAAATATGGCTGTTATTTCGTTAAGTGCCTTGGTATGGTATGGTATAGTCGCGCTGTTTGCTGGAAATAGGACACAGGCGCAAAATATGGGTTTTCATTTATTAATGCGTATCAAACAAAATATTCGAAAATGCCTTGGAAAGTAGCATCAAAGAAAGTTCCGTGGAAATTTCCATTTATGGCGTAACCATGAGGCGTTACAGTACTTTTTACGAACCCTGTATAAAATGTGCCAAAAAATTCTTACGCATACACCCTGAAAGATAATTAGGTACCTATGTCGTTATCAGTCCAAACTTTTTTTGAGGAACATTCAACCGAACATATTCAGAATGTTCCCATAACTAAACCAGAACATATTGATGCCTTTGAAATGCGGATAACGACAATAATAAGGAAAATTGTCCTGGAAATAATAAATACCGTTCAATTTGAATTTGAGTTTTAGTTAGGACTCTGTACAGCAGTCATTGAATTTCCCTGAATGCTTGAAATATTCCATAGCTGGCTCTGCCAAAAAATAAATAGTCCCTTTTCCAAAAGATTTTTTCAAGATCTCTCCCTTCTCCTGACTCTCAGCCTTCGATTGAAAAGCTTCAACGGTATGATTTTCTCAACAAATATGGTGCTGGCGAACTGCATGAAAACGCAGATGCCTCATCCAGTCGACTATGCTCAGATCGGGTCAAGAACTGCCTCAGAATTTATCCGCGTGCAAGAATTCCTGTTAGAAGCCTCCGATTTGATACAGATTAAGAACGTATCAATTAGAAGACAACGACATCACACCATCTTCGAACCTAAAGGGAACCAGGATTGGATCGCCAACAAACTGGAGAAAAGAAAAATCTGGCTAGCGAAGAAAAAAATAACAGGTAGGAGAAAATTGTTGGAATACGACTGCCAATCCAGTCAAAATGAGGAATTCTACGTTTGCTACGACCGTCCGCGAAGGTATAGTCGAGGCGGCTGGCAGCATGGCATAAACTGGAAACAGCTAGCCAGTCTTCTGGTTCCCGTGATGTCTGTCCAAGGAAAGAAGGACCACGCAGGCGTGAGGGCAGACCTGGATGGTCAGGAAGCCATCCTAGATGGGATTGATTTGACAGGCATAGGGATGTTCAGCAAGGGGATAGATGGAATTATTTATGGACCTGAGAGGTAGAAGAGAAGATGGCTCATCTTGACACAGTAACTTGGAGACGATATCTCAGGGACGATCTGATTTGAGATGGAGGCAGTGTCACCAGGCTTAGGAGATTTTTACCTCTAGTTTCTTGAACATGAAACAAAAATAAAAGCAAAAAAATAGGTGATGGTAGAGAAGTATCTTTCTTGTATAAAAGTTGCAATATGTAGGTAGCTACTTATAAAATGTATGTTTCTAAATTATTTATGCCCGACTCTTCGTTGGATCCGATTGAAATTTTGCATTATTTTTCCTAAGGCCTGTCATACGAGTAATTTTTCACTTATCTCTGCATCTATCTTCCAAAATCTACCATTCCGCTATCTTTCTCCATTGAAGTATAAGATCTAAACATAACAAATATTTCTTTCTGAACTTTTACTTTCAGAGCACCTTCAACCACAACTTTTTCAATACCTATTCAACAAAAACGTGTAGTTTCAGCTTTTTTACCCTCCCTTTTTACGTTAACATCGACTCCGTTCTCACTGTAGGGACCACCAACAGCTAAATGGACTTCTAAATATTTAACGCCATTATTGTTTCATTTGTTTTCCTGCCTAAATTTCCTTCAACCCCGAGTTGTTAAGTTGCGTTGAGCTGAGCGACGTTGCCAAGAATCTAGTTTTCAAGAATACCTAATGGTTTTCACAAATAATAATATTACGAGATTTAAATTTAAAATTTGATAATATAACTTTTAAAAATTGAATACATACTGGAATTTAATCATATATACCAAATAAGCAAATAAAATAAATGCGCAATCAGGAAACCAAACAACCTTCTATCAAATTTTATAAATCAATCCCCTATAAACAAATATAATAATTTTTGGGTAATATATCTTCTTTAAACAATATAATCATGTTGTATGGTTTGTTTCAAAATGCCTGCTACCAAAACGTAATTAATTTATTTTATAATAACTAAATTTATACATACTTGTATTTATTTTGGTTTTGTGCCATAATAAATCCTGGACTTTATAATAAATACTAAATGGTACGGCGGTAACCGCAATAATAATGGAAATTTTTGTTTGTGCAACCGCGAATTATATAACGATTTATTTAATTTATGAGTTTATTATATTTTGTTCCCTGGTATAAATTGAATTTCTCTAGAAGAGGACGTTCGAATCTTCAATATTAATTAATTAAAGGTCTGAATTAGAATCCCGAAGGATGACCTCTTGGAAATAATAGCCTAATGAATAATTTATAAATTTGGAATATCGAAATAAACTTTTCTCTAATAAAGATTAAACTTAGCTGAATAGAATGGATAGGATTCGTGGGTAAGGCAGAATATAAAATATAAAAATAAATTTAAGAAAACAAAACCATTTTTTTTTTCTGGCAACATTTTATAGAATTGCTACTTCCTCAAGCTCTAGGGCATATATATTTTTATATAAAAACAGCATAATTTAGAAGTGAGTTATAAATGAGTGATATCAAGCAAATTGAATCAATAATGATCAAGAAAATGCAGATTTACGCAAAATAACCCATCCGCCGGGTATTTAGTACTCGTAAGTTAGCATTTTATTCAAAATACAATGCGCGTCTGATGCACTAAGCTAAATTAACTTTTTTTATATATAAAATGGTAACTTACGATTACTAGATCAGAGAGCTCCAAACTAACGAGAGGCGACAGTAGCATATCTTTAACACACACATTTTGGTGTCAGATTTTGGTTACCCTGACCGCTTATGTTTGACGTAAAGCATTGGTAGAAATAGAGAGAAGTTTTAACGGACGCTGACAACCCTATCTACACTGAGAGAACTGTATCACGGGGAAAACCAAAAAAGCTTAACCCCTTGTAAGCTTTCGGACCACCAGCTACGAAAAGCACAAGCATGACCAGGCATAACCCAAATGAAAATATAATAATTAAAAAACACAGAAATAAATCACAATTGCTAACTTCGGAACCCAGACTAACGAACAGCTGGTGGACACTTGAGCTTTTGACACAACGTCCCGTTAATTTTGCACATGCG